ATGTTCCCAGATATCCCTAGATATGTTCCCAGAGGACAACCAGAGGACAACCAGAGGAGAACCAGAGGAGAACCAGAGGAGAACCAGAGGAGAACCAGAGGAGAACCAGATATTCCCATGTATTACCAGATATTACCAGATATTTCCAGATGTTCCCAGATATTCCTAGATGTTCCCAGATGTTCCCAGATATGTTCCCAGAGGAGAACCAGAGGAGAACCAGAGGAGAAACAGAGGGGAACCAGAGGGGAACCAGAGGAGAAACAGAGGGGAACCAGAGGAGAACCAGAGGAGAACCAGAGGAGAACCAGAGGAGAACCAGATATTCCCAGATATTCCTAGATGTTCCCAGATGTTCCCAGATATGTTCCCAGAGGAGAACCAGAGGAGAACCAGAGAAGAACCAGAGGGGAACCAGAGGAGAAACAGAGGGGAACCAGAGGGGAACCAGAGGAGAAACAGAGGAGAACCAGAGGAGAACCAGAGGAGCCCGGGTGACAAAGTCCAGTTACTGAACCTGTTAGCTTAGATTATCTTAGCTTGTCGTAGCGTTGTTTATCTTATCTTAGTTTAGCTAAGATTAAAAATTCTCTTATTTATTATTTTAGGAAACATTTGGTAATATCTGTGAATGCATGAGAACATCTGGGAACATCTGGGAACATCTAGGAATATCTGGGAACATCTGGGAATATCTGGGAACATCTGGTAATGCATGTGAATATCTGGAAACATCTGGGAATATCTAGGAATATTGGGGAACATCTAGGAATATCTGGGAGCATCTGGGAACATCTAGTAATGCATGGGAACATCTAGGAATATCTGGGAACATCTGGGAATATCTGGGAACATCTGGGAATAACTGTGAAAATCTGGGAATAACATTTCAGACCCAAAAACAGCCGAGGAGTCAGCAGAATTTTATCTCTGAAGGTTCAACTGGGCACAAATCCCCCAGAGAGTCTTTTGAATCATTAAACTTTGGGAACATTTGAGAGGACTGGAAGCGGCCCGGGTTCGAATCTTATTCTGGGCCCTAATAATAGTAATAATAATGCAAATACAAACAAAGGCTTAAAGAGCCCCAAGAGCCCTTAAAGCCACAAACAGGCTAATGGTGGCCGGGTGCTTGTGCAACTATGCTATAATCTGGCTCATTTACAATCTGATTAATGCTCATTAATGTGCACTGTCCTGATTAAAGAAATAAATGAAATAGAATAAAATAAAAAGCTTTAAGGTGATTGCTTGTGCAAATTAACAAAACAGATAAATTAATAAAACGGTTCGGCTCCGGCTCCTTTGGTCCCACAGAGCTGGTTGTTGGTGTTTCTGAACATTCTTCCCAAAGCTGGATAAACAACCGGGATTTGGCAAGAGTCTGAGGAAATCTGTGGCAATCAGCAATCAGCAATCAGCCAGGAGGGCTCAGGTCCAAGGCGCCCTTTAGCTAGCAGAAGGTAATAAAACACACCTTTCCCTTCTCCGGTTTGCAGATAAAGGAATGAAAACCGAGTCAGAGACGAAAACGTAGCAGCCGAGGACTGAAATGCTGTTCAGGACCCTGCTGGAGGATTTCTGGGGTTCCCGAAGATGAACCTTCAACTCCAAACTGTGTGAACTGTGCTGGGTTCCTCACAGACCGCCTAGGGCCTCCTCCTAGGGGGCC